TATTTAGCAAATGAGATTAGAATAAGTAGGCTGTAAACATAAATTAGTTGTTGTTTATTAGGGCACATAAGCACAAACCGAGTAAGTAATGACCCGGATAAGTGTTAATTAAGATAAAAACCGAAAACATTTCGGGGCACGAGCCAGAAGTCTTGAAGCCTAGTTTCTGCTCGGTTATGTCTCGTGTTACCAGCGAAATTAGTAGAATAAAGTTTTCCATGCTACTTAGAGTTTTTCTCCTCACTTGAAGACCAAACCACTATAGTCATAATTTTTTATAGTGATTCGGCTTTAGTTTAATAAAGCTTCTAATGTCAGTGTTGTTAGTTGTCAGTGACTACTTGATCTTTCCACCGTTAATGTCAGTTTTAGGTGAGACTTCCTTTGAGACTCCTTAGGGTGATATTGCTTATAACTTTTAAAGTTATAAACAAGTAGGGAAGTAATACAGAAAAAATTCTCTAATAAAAGTTTATTAGAAAAAAGAGAGCCTTTTCACAGGAAAAAAATGTTGGTGTTTATGGAAAAAATATAATTGGTGACGTCAAATTCCAAAGATGATACTTTTCATTGAAAATGGAGCTTACCTCATCCCATTTAACACCAATCTCTACTATTTGATTTTTTTGTATCCTCACATTACGCCCATACTATCGTTTGTGAGACACCCCGTACATTTCCGTTTTAATCTGACAAAAACCACATTCTATATTTTCATGTTCTTGACTTTTTTTCAGTATTTACAATTTCTCTTCCTCTCGCTTCGACAGGCGCAAACATGCGTTTTTCAACTTCACTTTCTTTAATATGTTATACTTATAACCTTATAATAAAATCTCAAGAATTATCTGTCGATATCTGGAGGAAGGTAAGAGTTGTTTACTTTCACTTTCTGTGCGAGTTTGTTGTTTTCAGACACAGATTAGATGCTTCATGTTCTATTTGTGACGTTTTGGAATGTTAATATCTGGATAAAAAATTAATACAACAAAATATAACGTCATTTACAAACGCATGTACACAGTGGCCCAACGAATATTCGTTTCGCAAATAATTTTAACACTTTTAATAACATAGTGTTTCATTCTATTGTCACCGAAAATTATATTACATTTTTTTTAGGAGAAAGAATATCTTTTTGATAAAAATTAATTTACTGAAAGTTGAAAGATAAATGACAAGTTGAAATAACGACTTCTTCAGATTTTGAACAGAAAAATAAATGTTACGCGTAATGCATAATTCCGGCAAACTGATAAATCTATCCTCCCATATCGCGTACACCAATAATCGATATTAATTTTGATTTAGATTAAATCGTGAATAGGCTGGCGTTTCAGATTCTCAACACATAATTCTAGTTAGCACGGGATGTGTCCAGTGGCGTCCGCCAAACCGTTTAGCCTTCCCTTGTTAATAAAACAAAAGTATAAACCTGTTTCTAATCGCTTGCTAATTGGATTCGAAATTAATATGTGCATTATAATTTACTTTCAATATTATGATTCATAAACAAGATTTTTTCCTACCTGACAGCTTTCTTCTGTTTCTTTTTTTTTGTAATTTTAAATGAATGCCGACTCCTGTGGACCGGATACGATATTTATTTCAATTCTAACTTAATACTACAACACATTTTTTGTGGTGATTACACTTTCTTCACTTTTACTTCGTAACATTCTGGAGAAGCCGTAGAGCAGCAAATAAACGGTAATAATGGTAATCAATACATCTATTACACGCCAATTTTTTAATAGACATCTTGGGCTATCCACGAAACATTACTGTTTATACCTTTTACTCAATTTTGACAGTTAAAATACAGAAAGACCTAGTATAAACCTGTAGCAAGTTGAAAATAAACTGAAAAATACATTATAGTTTTTTTACACACGAATTTTCATATACTTGTTTCAGTAACCGTCTTAAGAAATTAATCTGTTGTCCAGATAAATATTTTTATAATCAAAAGATCAGTGATAATGAGTTTTAGTAATTATGAATCTCTTAAAACAGGAACTTAACTTTTAATCAAATAATAGTGGTACGCAAAAAACACTCAGACACGGTCCAATTCCAGATACCAACTATTAATAATTATTTTTTTACATTCAAGTATTACTGAATGTTAAAACAATAATAACTTGTTTTTAGGTTATGTTAGGTTAAGTTTGGTTGTAATAAATCAATTTTTTATTACTTTATTTTGATTTTTCATTGTTTATAATATTGATTTTACTGATGTTGAAGAAAAAAAAGCAATATCAATAAATTTAGAGTAACTTTTCTTTCGCGCGGGACCTCTTAGGAAATCCCTAAAAAATTTATTTAAATTAAAAAAAAACAGTTCATTTTTGGCACCGTTAGGCTCCAGGCGTTTTTGGGACTACAAGAGGCCCCAGTGCGTGCCGCCCCTGAGCCGGCCGTCGGCGGCAATCGATGTGGCCGCCGAGTTGCTATGGTTACGCTTCCGGCAGGCAGAGCCTCCGTTCGGTGGTTTCGGTAACTAGTCGCTCGACTTGTCGCCTGGCGAAGAGCCTCTTCCAATCAACCGGCCCTTTGGAAGGACGAGAGAGGATAATAGACCGCGTCATTGTTTTTAGGTGGAAAAGAATTACTTAATTGGGGTTGGGGGATCAGCGCGAGGGGGTGGAAGGTGAGCGACAAATTAAGAAATTGGAGATGATAAGAGATGAGGAGTCTCTCTGTAAAAAAGAAAAGGATGGACTTGCTTTTCCATTAAAATATAATCATCATGTCATAAATTGATAAAGCGGATTTATTCAATTTTCTTGGATTTATAATTTTTTTTCTGTACCCACTCCTCGTCACTAAGATGCATACCCTTTTAGAGGCAAATACCAAGATGAACATATTATTATAATTACACATAACTATCTCTGAAAGTCATCTTATCATTCCTATCAAACATACATTAAACTGAATCAAGCTTATCAGACGCCTAAAACTGTCCAAAACCTATCCTGATACCACGATTCTAAGGTTCTAAGTCTCTCATTCTCTCAGTTTGTTCCTGTTCCACATTACCGTATTGGCATTCAAAGCTCACATAATCAAGCTTATAAACATTTTCTTATTCGGTATTTGTTGATCGGGAAAATCCGTCTGACTTCGTCTTCTTGCAACAGCATCGTTCTCTCCTGACAAGAAGCGAGTTATAACCATATCAACTTACCACGCTAATTTCGTGCGGCCTATGGTTTAAAAACTAATTATAAATCGACTATTTGATTAAATAAAGATAATTTCAGCTTCGTATTAAGAGTAACACGTACTTTTAACCCCTTAAAAACTTACCCCCACCAAGTTACACTCTGTTTGTTGTATTTACATTAGTAAAGTGTTGGAAATTATGAAACCGCTGTATTCATGAACGAAACAATACAAGGTGTCTTACGGCGACGGCCCTTTAGGAATATCTCAGAGAATACTTCGATTTGAATTTTGAAAATTTGGGCTCTAGGGTTTTCGGGAGCGTTCTAAATAAAATAATGTCATTGTTGTGATGCTTCCGATTATACAGAGCGATTCACAAATGGTGACAAAAAAATGAAAGGGGTCTTTCCTATAAAGTTTTTATCTAGGACGCCCCGTTAAAAAGATACAGGCTGTTAAATTTCAAAAAATAATTTTAATTTTTTAAAATGATTTAAAAACTAATAAGTAAAATAATTTGAAATTTGAGCAGTTAGAAGAAAGAATAAGTAATGCTTTTCATGTCATTTAAGTAAAAGTGTTTTCAGTTGTTAGAAAAAGACAAACTAACATTAAATATAAAAATATAAGTACTTCATAAAGTAGAGCAATCAAAATATAAAATATAAAATCCAGACAAAAGAACTTAAGTATAAACAATAACAGACAAATAAAACAATTAAGCTGACTAACATATACAAGATAAGGATTACATTTGCTTGACAATTTTTTCATGTCATTCATAGAATGAAAAAATATATCAAGTCGATCTTTATACTTCTGATAATTGGAAATCATTTGGGAGATGCTATTAGTAAATTGGTACGAGGTGTAGGTAATTGTAAAGTGAAATCTAGAATTAGATAGGTAATCTAGTATTGAATGTAACACCAAGGTCAGTAAGACAGAATTTTACATTTGCTTACATTCAGAGGTAGATTATTACATGAACGTCAATTGTGTAATCTGTCAAGATTATCTTGTAATCTAGTACAATCGGTAGAGGATTTAACTTCCAAGAACAACTCCAGGTGGTCCACATAAAGTAAATAGTTGACATCGAGGCATTCAGTTAAGTTATTAATAAAAATAATAAATAACAGTGGTCCCAAGATTGACCCTTGCGAAACACCTGAAGATTGATGGAACTCTATTAACGTAATTACGAAAAATAAAATAATAAAAAATCCCGAAGGTATATCTAGTAAGGGCAACCCAATTTTTGTTTTTCCATGACATTTTTTTTTATTTTTCCAACGTAGTGTCACGTGACATATCCAATTCTAACGCCGTCAAAAGGGCAGTCGCTTTAAAATGTTCCCAAGCNCCAATTTTTGTTTTTCCATGACATTTTTTTTTATTTTTCCAACGTAGTGTCACGTGGCATATCCAATTCCAACGCCGTCAAAAGGGCAGTCGCTTTAAAATGTTCCCAAGCATTCCTGTGCTTTTACAACTTCAATTATGAATAATTATTACAACATTTTCTCCTCGCAAGAGAAATTTCGATAAATACTTCTTTAATTATACTAATTACGTAATCAATTTTCACAGAACCCAACACCCATCTGTTAGTAAATTGTAAACCAAAGACCAGCGGCTAATTACTTTCTTCCGAAACACATTAATTCCTAACAATTGACTAGATTCCATTCCAATGGCACCGTACAATCTCCTGGGGACTCCGTGAAAGTAGTGAAAGATCCTCCAAGAGTATAAAAACGGCGCGTTCCTAAAAATCGTCCATCAGTTCCAACTGTACCCGTAACGATTAATTTTACATAATGTTTAACGGTTTCGTTTGCGTGGCGTTGTTGGGCGCCTTCTCCGTGGCCCGAGCGGGGTTCGAGGAAGGCCACGGCGGGGGCCACGAGGTGTCCCACTCGGTGGAAGTCACGAAACACGTGCCGGTGCCAGTATATCAACACGAAGTGGTTAAGATACCTCACACGGTGCCCGTGCCAGTCCCTAAGCCCGTGGCGGTGCCGGTGGCTAAGCCCTACCCCGTCCACGTCAAAGTACCTCAACCTGTGGCGGTTCCCGTGATCAAGACCATCACCGTCCCCGTCGAGAAGCCGGTGCCTTTCAAGGTGGAGAAGGTGGTGCACTACCACGTCGAGAAACCCGTGCCTGTACCCATCGAGAAACACGTCCCTGTTAAGATCCCCAAGCCGGTGCCTGTGAAAGTACCCGTCTACAAGGTGGTGTACCACCACGGCAAACACTGACCTGCCAAAGACTGATTTTTGTTACCGATAGTCATTACTTGTTGTTATTGTTGTTATTTCTTTTTCGTTGTTGTTGCCTTAGTTTGTATTACTTGTTGATTTTGTTTACATTTTTTTAAATAAAAGTTGTTTTATTATAAAAATATTTTGTCAGAGTTACAGACCGACCCAAATAGGTTTGCGTCTGAGTCTACATTTTATTCCTTCTAACCGAACGCGTTCTTTTTCTTTCATAAATTAAAACCTTTAACTCTTAAAAAAAAATCGAAGCAGGTCATGCGTTGCCAATTGGATCATCATCATAACTGATTCAACAAGCACTTTAGTCCAGCCGGTATCTGTTTTATAAAGGGTAAGTGTCTGAAAAAAACTAGCATTTTTTGCCATTTTTTAAATGATTTTTCCGATTTTTGCAATAACAATAATTATTTTTTCGAATTGCAACTAACTCTATCTTGATCAAAATTTAATTACAAAACTTTTTTTCCTTTTCCATTTTTGTCTAAAATGAATAGTTGCTAAGTTGTCGACGAGAAATCCAAGAAAAAAATNTCTTAATGAACATGGGGTCGCAAATGCCTGCTTAACGAGATACAGGGCGTCAAAGTTTCTGTAAAATTAAACATTGTCTGCAATAATTCCAAAATGCCTGAACGTTTCTATTTCAAATTTGCTATACGTAATTAGCACCTTAACACCAATGTATGATGTACTGTTTAAAATTTTATGAACAGCAGTGTCGTAGAGACGGGGTCAACGTGACCCTTTTTTTAAAATATTTTCTACGCCACTGCTAATTTTATCAAACGGTCACTATTTACATATTAACAAATGCAAATATCCTCACAAAATTTTGGGGATTGAAGTTCTTTGAGTAGAGGAATTGAAATCTGTTCACATTTTGGTTAAAGTTCATAGAGGGCGCTAGCTGCAGTAAATTGAATGTGTTAAAAACGACATAATTTCTTTGTACTTTAAGGTATCTCATCTTTGGTATCAAATTCTTATTTTCCAAGTTCTTTTACACAAAAAAGGTACACTTTATGAAAGTAGCTGTCTCGCACCGTTTTCGAGATATTTGTCTTTGAAACTTCCAATGCTGTTACATTAAATTACAATTAAGTACCTACAGCTATTATTAATTTAGTGGTAAAGTTTCTTAAGTAGGATTTGGACGAAAATCAAATAATTGACGTCTTCCACTTGTCATTGCTGTCATTTGTATGCTAATTTCTATTAATGCGACATTTTTATTACCGGTACTTTATGATCTGCTGGATTAAAAAATATACCCGATATATGCCAAGAATAAGCATGTATGTCAAGTACCTATAAGAGCTAGTCGCAAACGAATGGTATGACGTCATAGCGTGACTTTCGTACGTTTTCCCACACTCCGATTTCATAAATTATTTTGAGGGATCCATTGTTGGAAAAAAAATCTGATTTTTTGCACATCGACTTACTACGATGTAAATTTAGTTAAATTACCAGCCCAAATATGATTAATTTGCAGCAAACAGTTTTGATTTCAGGAACTTTGACAGATTGTTTTTTTCCCAAAAATTGTTTTAATAACCACCCAACCTAATACCACTGTTACAAGCAAATTATTCCTGATTGTTTTTTTTTTAATTTATACTAACACCAACTTTTTTCTATCTACTCTTGGAGAAACGGCGAGCCACCTTGTATATCCGACAAAGTAGCTATCATTAACACCCTCGGGCAGCAAAAACATCCCCCACCCACCTAGACCACTCGACTAAAAGCCAACTAGTCGACAATAATCCCATAAGTGAGCACTCAATTAACCGTCTGCCGATCCCACCTCTGAAATCAAAACAATCCACTCTCTGGAATCGCGCCGAGCGTTCCCACAGGACCAAAACAAAGGTGGTCGTGAGCCGCGTCCGTCCGCGATCCGCATTGTCGCCAAATTGTCAGCGTATGTCAATTGTCATCCCTAAATAAACCCCGTTGTCGAGCATAAAAGAAGTGAGCATCGAGCGTGCGACTGGCGCGTGTGATGAGCGAAAGGGGCAGGGGGAGGGGAGGGGGGGATCATCATAGCCGGCTTTTATCCGGGATCACGCTGGGTACTTGACTTAGCCGCGTCAGGAATGAAGCAAAGTGGTAGCGGGTCGAGATTTTGGCGTTTGAAAAAATTGCAAAGGATATAGGTGACATTTGCAAAATCAGTGTTAATATTTTGTCAATGCCTTCTTGTAGACAAATTACAAGATTATCCATATCTCACTCCTGCCTTCTTCAATTTTTTTTATGTAGTCGAGATTTCCATTTTTCTACTGAAAATGTTGAAAAAAATTCATCGCAAGAAGAAAAAGCGGCTGAATTTCCTCCTTCAAGAAGGTAGAAGGCCTTAGAGCTTAAAAAACTCCAAAAAAAAAGTCCAACGGCGTTAAATCGCGAGATCTCGGCGGCCAATTCTGATAACCAAAACGGGAAATTACACGACCAGGAAGTAATTGAATTATTTATAAGGCTGTATTCTATTTGGCACTGTCTTGTTGAGATCCCTGAGATCACTGTTGAAATCCCATCTCTTCTACATCTATATCTTGCAATTCAGGCACAAAAAAGTGGATTATCATGTCGCCATAGCGTTGTGGATGTATTTGTTTCTCAACAATCACTCGTGGATTTTCTGAACCCCAAATGCGACAATTTTATCGACGAACGAAGCCATCAATATGAAAATGGGCCTCATCGCTAAAGATGATTTTGTTCCACTTGTTCCACAATCCGTTCAAAGAACTCTCTTCGCTCTGCGTAGTCAGTAGGCATCAGTTCTTGAGCCAATTGAACTTTGCAAGCACGAAGGTGCAAATCTTTCGTGGGAATACGCTTCTCGAAATGTCCAGTTCTTGATCGCATGCCGAATTGGTGTTCCTGGATTCTCAGCAACACTCTCACCAACTGCTTCGATGTTTTGCGTTGAACGACTTGTTGAAGGTCGGCCAGAGTGTTTAAGATTACTAGTTGATGTTAAATCACTATTCCGACTATATTTTATACGACCAAACCTTGATTATTTTTTAAATGTTGCTCAACAATGAAACCGCGTTGTTCTTTCGTGTGGCGCTCCATTTTTAATAACCCTAGCTGTCATACTTTATTTTTTCTTTCGTTGGCAACACTTTACCGCAGAAATGGCGCGAAATTCAAACCTTGCGTGCATTCTGGGACACCCTATATAACTCTAGGGTAGTGTATTTGCCAATAAATAAGTACTTGGGTAAAAAATGTGGTAATTATTGAGGATCCCGGTTTTATGTGCTACTTTAGAAACACAATCAGTTGCCTAATTCCAAGATACGCGCCTGGTTAGATCAGACGCGTCTTCTCCGCCGCACAGATCGCCCCGATCGCCGAGTAAACTAATTGAACAGAGGCACAAAGCACCTATCGTAAAACATGCGAGCGCACACTTCTACCCGTCCCGGGGTGCGCCCCCTCCCGCCGGGGGGTCGTCGGGGGCGTTATTTATGACGCAACAAGCCATTCCAGCCTGCCCCTACGATTGGCCGCCATTCAACCCCTGACTCCACCCCTCGACCCTTCGAAAAATCCCACAGTCGATCATAAGCGAGACGGATTGCCCTCGACGACAGAATCGCTCGCCCCCGACGCCGTTACGGAGCTCTCTGGATATCGCCGTCGCTTTTTTGTTCCCGAGTCGGTGGCAGTAACAGGCAGCAATCGCGGATTTTTTTTTGTCGCGTCGCGAGTGATCGGTGCGGTGGAATGGTCGTCGCCGTCGGTTGACTGATTTCCGTGGACTGTGCGCCAAGAGACGGGACCATGCTGGACATCAAGCCCACGGCAGACTATCTCAGCAGGAACTCCACCTTCGGGCAGTTCTCGATGCTGTTCGGTAATTATCTAATGCACTTCTTCGTAGATTTAAAAATTTATTTAAAACATTAAATACGTAAATATTTTTTCATAAATAATCATCATTAGCTTTCATAAACGATTACGACCCACGTGACCGTTGAGTATAGGCAACCAACAGCGCACGATTGGCGCTGCCAACTAAAAATCCTTAAATTTTAGTAGCGCGGTCGAGGACGTAATTAAATAAAATTGCTTCTAAAATTTATTAACTTCAACTGTTGATATCAAATTTAATACATACAATTCAGTATTATGTACAGGGTGATTCACTATATTTTTACCCCCCCCCCATTAACTTTTTTGTTTTTGGTGTTATAAAAAAATGTGAAATACAAAAGCACGATTTTTTATGAATTTTTCTGAAACGATAGTAGAAAAACAAATGAGGTTCAAACAAAATGGCCGCGAATGTAACTTTGTTAATTTAAATGGAACACCTTGTATATTTTTACATATTTGGATAGAACGTTCCTTGTCGAGCATAGTCATATAGAGTTTGTTGAGTCCATCTCTAACAATAAGCGATATACTATTAAAAAAATGTCAAAATATACCTATTACAACTAAATATGTATATCCTTACGTAATTGGAAAAAAGTCAGAAGTACCTGAAAGAAGTCTAACAATTTCAAGATATCTTATTTTCTTAATAAAAAACAATATTTTCTTTTTTTAATAGTATCTCGCATATTGTTAACATCCGCGGCCATTTTGTTTGGACGTCATTTGTTTTTCAAATATCATTTTCGAAAATTCATAAAAAATCGTGCAACTTTTGTATTTTACATTTTTTTATAACTCTTAAACCAAAAAAGTTAAAGGTGGGTCAAAATATAGTGAGTCACCCTGTACTTGAAAAATATTTTTATTTATTAAAAAGTACAAACAATCAAACTTCTTGTTAATGAATCACAAATTTTCACTATGAAATTAAAAAAACCGTTATGTGAACCTATAACAGTTTATTTAATTTTATTTTGTTGCAGAATAAAATAAATAAAGAATATTTTTTCTTATAGATAAAATAGCATTATAAAAAAGTTTAATTTACAAACCATTGCTCTGATAACGCCACTTCCCTGCAATATGAAATAAATTCCAACTCGTAAATTAGTAAGCATATATTTACAATAAAAACTAGGTACATAT